ATGCATATTTTGATTATCAACAGTGCACGTATGTGTGCCCTGCGATTGGCTGGCAACCAGTTCAGGGTGTACCCCGCCTTCTGCCCGAAGACTGCCGAGATAGGCTTCAGCACGCCCCGCGACCCTCGTGAGGAGAAGCGGTTTAGAAAACGAATGGATGGAAGACTGCACGTAGAAATTTGAAATGTCGAAAAAACTGTTTAATGCCATATTTCTACAACCAAATGCTAGTCTAGTCAATTCAACTTAACCTTATTTGTAGAGCACTTTAAAAACAACTGCATACAAATTGCTGTACATCAACTAAAAAATCTGACATAAATACAATGACAGTTAAAACAATCACTTGGTGACATTAAAAACAGTAAATACAATAAAACAATTTAGAGTCTCATACTGAGTCGAAAGCCCTCCAAAAATAAAAATGAATAAAATCTGTTCTAAGATGAGTTTTAAAGATGTACAGCGAAGGGGCTTGCCAAACATTGAACGGAAAGGCATTCCACAGGAAGGAACTAGCAATGGAGAAAAACCTTAATCCCCTCTGAGGCTCCGCTTAGTGCTCGCTACCTCAATGCGTCTGGTCTGCTGACCTGAGGCACCGGGCAGGTACATACAGGTAGAGGAGCTCAGAGAGGGAAGGAGGTGTGGGGGAGCATTTCAAGATTTGAACATAAATAAAATCGTCTTAAAATAAACTGTAAAATGCACTAGCAGGAAGTGAAGGGAGGTCAGAATTGGTGCTTCCCTCCAACAAGCTCCATTTAGGAGGCGAGCAGCAGCATTTTGGACCAACAGGAGATGCTTGAGGGAGGACTGGCTGACTCCAAAATAATGTGTTTCAATAATCCACCTGGGCTGTAATAAAGGCGTGTATTGCTGTTCCGAAATACTGCTGTGAAAGGATAGGCTTTACTTTAGCCTCATGTCGTAGCCTGGATTCAACAGCAGCATCAATTTTTTTTGGTCTAATTTAAAATCACTGTCCAATTTAAAACCCAAATTCAATGCTATTGGCTTTAGATAAGAGGGCAGGGGGGCCAAGTCAACAGGAAATGTACAAAGTACAAGTGCCACTGGGACCAAATACCATAACGTCCATTTTTTTTTTCGTTGAAGTTCAAGAAATTTGGTGCCATCCAGGCTTTGATATCCTCTCGACCAGACAAAAGTGACTTTTAGGAGAAAATGTCCTTTTTTTTTTCCTAGCGGGACATAGCAGTGAAACGCAATAATAATAATAATAATAATAATACATTTTATACTGTACCTTGTTGTCTTCAGACGAATATAAAGACAGTACAATGAAAACAGCAGGAGCCCCAGAATTGAATCCTGTGGAGCGCCATTCGGCACAGGAGCTCACTGGGACTCGGAGCAACCGAGCCTAACACAAAACGTCCTGGCCGCTAAATAGGATCCAAACCACTCTAGAGTGCTTCTCCTACAAACTGCCACTATTACTACCAAGTTCCTTAGTCTTTACAAGTGTTTTCAGCAATTGTCTTCAAACATATATGCGCTATTTAGAATCCAATTTCTGAATTCGCTTTGCAGGATCTTTAATTCCCGTGAGAATTTTTTTTTCGTCAGTCATATGACAAAATGATTGGTTGATGAATGTGAGGCCCACAGTGTAGTTTAGGTTTCAGTAACCCTATGACTCATCATTGTGCACGCATACGACCACTGTTCACTCGAATCACATTTGCCGCTTGACTCACTTGTCCCTCATAGAATCTTTTTTTTTCCTCCATGAAAATACAAAACAGCTGGCACAGTGCAGTTTAACTTCCCGTTGTAATTGTAACCGTGACAACTACGCCGCAGCACTTTTAACCTGTGCGCTACTGTAGATCAGTGATGATGATGAGTGGCTTTACTCGATTCACATTTGAGCCCTAGGAATGGTTGCTAAGTGATCGATCCGTTCGTCCGTCTCGTTGAATTGCAGAGATGGAAAGAATGTGGTTCCAAGTGCATGAGAGGGTGAAAGGACTGGTGACAGTGACACAATAAAGGTCGGGCGGGTTGCGGTTTTAAATCTGACGTCAGGGCAATCAACGTCTGAGAAGATGAAGAAAAAAAAAAAAAAGAGCAGCCTTTAATTATCTCATCTGAGTAAGAGCGTGGGATTGGCCGCCGCGAAACGCTCGATACAGGAACAATAGGTCTCCAGTCACACCTACACATGAAGAATGTATGATGACCTGCATGCAACGATTGCAGACGACCTGTCAGATTTGCAGTTACAAGCCTCCGTGACTCCAGGGCTGGGGGGCACAAAACTGTATGCCAAACTAATTGTGTCTTTTTTTTTTCTCTTTCTTGCTCCCTTTTACTCATTTGTGTCATGCGCGCACGCACACACACACACACACACACACACACACACACACACACACACACACACAGAGGCCTAAACCCCCGCACCTCCACACCCTTCCCTACACACCCAAATGTGCATGAGAGCCAAACTGCGGATCCCTCTTCGGCCGCACAAAAAAAAAAAAAAAAAAAGCCGCGGATTAGAAGATCAGACATTTCCCAAACGTTCTTCATCCTGTGTGATGACATGATTGTCATTCCGCTTAACTCCCTTCAAACTCTTGCAAAGATTCATCCTGGGAAGTGGGAAGGTAAATAACAGTTTTTAGTTAAAAAAAAAAAAAAGAAAGTGGTGCTCCTGCCCAGACTTGCTCTGTGGAAAGGCATTTTATTCTTTTTTTTTTATTGCCAACATCAAACACGCATGAAAATTGCTGCAGTGCAGCTGGTTTCTATAGCGGTCGACGGAGGGCGGGCCATATTTTTGTTTATGAGTCGCATAGCTGTTTGCATCTATCTCCTCCTAGTTTGGGCCCATCCCGTAAAGTTGGAGCAGATCGCGGCAAGCTCCTCTTTAGATTTAAATTGCTTCCATTCCCCAATGAGAGGTTTTTCCTCTTATGTGGGTTTTACCACTGTTTAATACTTTCAACGCTCACAATTTTTTTCTTCTTTTTCTTCTCCAGCCATCAACGTCTTTTGATGCAGCGATGTCCCCGTAAAGCAGGAAGTGTGAGTGTTGTCGATGGATGCACCTGTATGAGGAATGCAGATACACAGAGGGGGCGACCGCATGAGGGTGCTTTCGTCCTGCACGTCCATCCATCATTCTTATCGCTTTGCTCCCGTTTTTGAAGGCACATGAAAAGTTTGGGGAGGCTCCCGGCTTGTCGCCTTTGTAGCTTTTGTCTCCTCTTCTACCTGAGGGCCGCACCGTTGAGCATCTTACAAGCTGCGTGTGTGATGTGTGTGCATCGCTTCAAAAGGAGCCGCACTTCAAACACTGTGACGTGAGCATCGATTCATAGGAACATTCATTTTGAGTCAAAGACATCCTTTTCGGAATGTTTTTCCATTTGCATTTATACAGGACAGTTTAATCGAATTAATTTAGTTTAGTTTTGTTTTGTTTTAACTCAAGACTAAATTTCAAGACAGTGTTATGAATTAAAACGTCAAAAAGCTTGACCTGACATGATACTTGACTGCCTGCAGACTTTTCACATTTGATTGGTTGACACTACGGCTTGTTTGATTAAGTGTGAAATCATTCGTGAAATCCTTCAAAGGCAACGCTAACTCAGCTGGTGGTCCGTGTCCATTTTCGACTAAATTCTAGCGCGCTTCGGTTCACTTGAGCTGAAACATAAGACCAAAGCCATGGACCAATGTTAAAATGACAGCAAAAATCCTCAAATCTCTTTTTACAACGCGCCTTCTGAAAATATCGTGAGTCGAATTGCGTAATTCATTTTTAGCTTATTGCCATGACTTCATAAAAAAAAAATACTAAAGTGCTTGCTCAAAATTGGAAAGTGTAGCCGCGGCCCTTACGCCACAAAAGGAGCGGTGCTTTCCGTGGCTGCTTTAAGGATCCTGTCACTGATCTTGCGGCTATCGCAAATGGTCAACAGCTTCTTCAGACTTTCAGTGGAATATTCTAACCCCCCCCCCCCCCGCTTCTCTCTCTTCCAGCATTTTATAATTTGCCATAATAGCTGACACGTGTACACGGCATGTAGTGCGCCCGGAGCGAAAGGAGAACTTCATCCGTGGTGGAGAATGTGGAATGCGACGGTGCAACACACCTGCGGGACAGCTAGTTGATACAGCCTGTAGTGGAACGCACCACTTGGTCAGCCCGTGCATCCTCCTCCTTTGCTGCTGCTGCTGAATATTTGTTTCTTTCGTCTGACTGTTTAGATCACCGGGCTGAAACTTGGCTGTATAACCCCAAAACAGAGCAATTAGCATCAGGGGGGGAAAAAGCAAATAAAAGATGTGATGAAAGCAAACGCTCCATCCTGACCTCATTCGGACTGCGTGTGCCAGCGAGGACGTTCACTTCCAAGCCAGGATGGATTTACAATGGCTGTGCGTACTTTAAAAACGTATCATTATTCTCGAGCAGGGGTGGCCAACCCGCGGCTCGCGAGCCGCATGCGGCTCTTTGGCTGGCTCCATGCGGCTCCCGGGCTTTCACGCGACAATTGGCGCATTGCCATTCAAACAACAGTGCTTAATACACAGAACGTACTACGTCAGCCTATCGTCAATCCCGTGACTTGATTGACATAGAGGGCAACCAATTAAAGGACTGAATGACCACTCAACGGCGTTAAGTGCTAAGCTAGTCAGCGAATTAACTCTGTTTTTAGGGCAGGGGTGCCCAATCCGTCGATTGCAATCAAACAAGAGCCAGCAGACTGGTCCCAAGTCGACCGCGAGCGGTGGGAGGAGGAAATGAGGGGCGGGGGGAGGTGATTTGTGCGTTTGTGTCTTAAGGTTTTATTTGTGTTCGGGCGCTGCGGCTGTTGCTCGTCGTGGCGTGCATGCATATGTGCTCGAGTGCATGGTCGTGTGTGTGTGTGTGTGGGGGGCGGGGGGGCTCTATGCAGTAGCACAGTAAAAAAATTGGCTCTTAGTCTCTGACTGGTTGGCCACCCCTGTTCTAGGTTCACGCCGATGTCCGAGGAGACTTTTTGTTTGTGCTGATTCTTTCTCCTACCCCGCCACCCTCACGCGTTTAAAACCCCGCTAAAAGAACTGCAATCGCACTTGTTTTGAAGCTTAACTCTATACATTTTACAGTTTCCCTCAGGCTTTTTAAACCAAGGATGAAGGCCAAATCTGTCGAGATGGGGGGAAAAAAATCGCAATTAGAAATCCCAATAGAAGCTTGCCAGATTCATTTATCAGCGTGTGAAGAGAACTCAGCCTCGGGGCGGCGTGTGTTGTTTGTGCGCGCACGCGCGTGTGTGTGTGCGCACTGTTCCTCAGATATCTATCTCCACTTTCTGGCCCCTCGTCCATTCACACGGTCATTCAGTCAGGTTCAAAGTCTGAGCATCTCTTTGCCAGAGGAAACTGGAAACCTGCTTGAGCTCTGCCGTGGGTCAAAGTGGGAGGTGGGCGGTGTGCTCATGCCCCCCCCCCCACACACACACACACATATGCGCAAACTGCCGCACTCTCAACTATGATTGCTTTGAAAGTGGTGCGCTTGTCCCACCTCAAGTTCAGCCACATACTTATGTAACTGTTTGGATATTTGTCACTATGGTCATCTCAGTGCAGTGTTAAATCCTTGAAGTATTTAAAAAAAAAGTCAGTCTAACGGGTGCAAAGAGACGTTAGGGGGCATTTGGGGACGATTACCAGTTAAGAGTCGATAAAAGTACGTCACTTCAGCTGTTTATTTACATGGCAATGACCTTTTGGAACCTGGAAAGTGCTCAAAAGTGTATTTGCTTTGCAACTGTTTTTCCTTAAAAATGTCAGGAAAAGCCTCCTAGAACATCTGAACATCATTTGGAGTTTATCAGCGGCACTTTAAATGGTGGCTAGTGTGCGCTGACTTGCATTTAACATGAGGTTGAGTGTGATTGGTTCATTCTGAATGTGGCCAGATGCCCGTGTTAGAACACCGCACATGCAAACTCCACACGGGAAATGCTGCAGCCCAAATTTGAAGCCACAGTCTGTGAACTGTGAAGACGGATGCGCTAAGGTGGTTGTCTTCTTTCTAATTTTATGCAGTGAGAATCATGTTCAAATGTTACAACTTGACAAAAAGGATTAACCTCGGCTGTAACTTTTTGTTTTAAAAGCCACCGCGGTGGTTCATTCCAGCTAAGCATGTCAAAAACATGTCATTTATGAAGTGGAGGCACCTTCAGTCATCTTTTTCCTCGCATCCATCTCCAAAGGTGAGTAGAGTTCTATTTATTTTACTTTCATGTTTTCTTTCTCATACATCAGCATTTTTTTTTTTTTTTTTTTTTTGCGAGCCTGTTCATAATGCCAGCAGAGCTTTTGGCAATCCTGTCCTTCATTTTAAATTGAGACCATTAATATCCATTTTTAGATCTTTTCAGTACGTACACAATGCAATTATTTAAAGGGAAGAAACCATTTTGCCTCCAGTTCTTTATTTTCTATTGTGCCAAGTTATCAATATGGGGCATTGTCCATAATTGACCGTTCATATTCAGCTTATAGTTGTGAAGAATTATTTAGTCTGTCCATTTTTGAATAAAGGAGTTACTACTTTCACTTTTTATAGTTTTTTTTTTTAAACAGAAATTTCGACTGTACATCTACTGAAGTACGGAGTATATCTGAGTACTGTTGCTGCCACCTCGGGGGGTGTTCATCAGACTGCAGGGAAGGTGGAGACTAGCGAAAAGGGCGAGGTCGAGAGAGAGAGGAGAGAGAGAGAAAGAAAAAACCTTGAATGAGGGATGTGAGTGGAGTTCAGAGTGCAAACACACAGCAGCCAGCCAGCAAGTGCACCTGAAAGAACAACTCGCCCGGACCTTAAATTGACCAAAAGGGGGGCAAACATGATGCTGTTGTTTGACAAATGTTCTGTTTGTTTTGCGTACTTGTGCAAACCGTTCCTCGCCTCCTCTTGACGCAACAGGTTAGCGGCCAAAGTGCACCACCGGCTGATGTTCGGAGGCTCGAAAGAAGCATGCTGTCAAAGCCGTGGCCCTTCGGCATCGCGCAGCAGGTCCACTCATGGGATGTAGTGCATGCAGAGTCAGGTTCAACTCGGCCAAGGCGCTGTCTTTCCTCACCATGCTCTTGATCTTCACCTACTTCTTCTACTGCCTCACGGGAATCTGCCACTCGGCTCCGAGGACTTTTTACGCGGACGATGAGCGGCTCGGAACCCCGCCGGGGAACAGAAGCGCTTCCCCGGTTGACGCGCGGGCTGTGCAGCCCCGCAGCCTCTTGGAGGACAGCAACAAAAACAACGACAACAACAACATGCCCGTGTCCAACACTTTCGGCAGCAAACGCTTCCCGCAGGCCATCATCATCGGCGTGAAGAAGGGAGGAACCCGCGCCTTGCTCGAGTTCCTCCGGATCCACCCGGACGTCAGGGCCGTGGGAGCCGAACCTCACTTCTTTGACAGGTTCTACGACAAGGGACTCGAGTGGTACAGGTATGATACGCATTCCACTGACACCCAGGTTGCACCCCTACACGTAGCCCGTTCCGTTCTTCTCACCGGTCAAAACATTAGGTACACCTGCGCACAATCTAATGCTGCAGGCGCGGTTTTGATTGACGTGTTCATGATTGGGTTTACATGTACACACGAACTTTAAATGATATCAGAACACGCTATAAGGATGAATACATAAATATTAATAAATGTACATATCATTGTTCTGATTATACATGTTGCTGTACACACGTGAGGACTAAAATATTAAAAACAGCTCAAAGTGTAATGCAATATTTTTCTACCTTCAAATTTGCTGCTGGATTTTTTTTTTTTTGCCCCTTGACTTTTAAACTCAGAAACTGTGCACACTAAAGTTACTCTAATAATTCTAGCTAATAAAATTTAGGCTTATTTCTGACACTTTCCTCTCGGCGGCTACATGCATAAAAGCATCTTACGAAATTTTTTTATGTGGTTCTTGTATGGGTCTTCCATTAGCTTGTGTGGCGTGCACAGTGACTTGTGGTTGCCCCTTGTGATTGGCGGCACCCAGGGTTAACTCTCCTTCTCGCCCAAAAGTCCGACTCAGCCGTGAAACTAACGAGGACAAGCGCTTTCCAAAATAAATGCTTAGATTGTGTATGTATCTAATGAAGTGGCCCAAACGCGTGTGCCACAAACAGCCTGAAATTGAGTTGGGATTCATTATCCATCCATCTATCCATTTTCCAATCCGCTTATCCTCATAAGGGTTATGGGCTGTGCCGGAGCCTATCCCAGCTGTCTTCAGGCAGTAGGCGGGGGACACCCTGAACCCGTTGCCAGCCAATCGCAGGGCACACAGAGACGAACAACCATCTGCGCTCACACTCATATCTAGGGACAATTTAGAATGTTCCATTAACCTGCCACATTTTCGAATGTGGGAGGAAACCGGAATACCCAGAGAAAACCTACACAGGCATGGGGCAAAAATGCAAACATGAATTCATGAATGATTCAGATGTGTTGAATTTCGCATTCTATAACAGCTGAGCGAATGACTGAATCCCCCACATCCACCTCATATGTTTCTTAACCTGCTGTCAGTTGTGAACAATATGCATGAAGTTAAAGAACAGCACAACGGACTAAAAAGCTAAGGACATAGAATTCCAGTTGTGGTGGCAAATCCTCACAACAAACCGTCGAGTGCCATCTCAGGACATGAAGGCGTTGACATTTCCTGCCAATACAAGACCGACTAAGTCTTGCATCATCATGTGCCAATATTCTCCTCCGCAAAGATGGTAAATTCCCCCTAGGGAGCACTTCATCGTTTTTGACACCATCATCTATAATTGTCATCCAAACATCATTTGTACACATCACACACATCAGGACATCCTGTCTGACGCACTTTAGACGTGAATGCAATTAACACTTGACTTTGACTGATGAGAATCACCTCTGGACAATTCTGCCTTCAAATTTGTGGGATCAGTTTTGGGTGGAATCTTTTTTTTTTCTTCCCCCTCCCATTTTTTTTTCTTCCTCCTCCCAGCTTGACCACTGTATAGTCCTCAAAGGCATGCTACGATGAGTTTGGTATGTTGCAGAAAGTCTTCCCAAAAGATTGCAAAGGGAGAGCCACTCAGTCTTGTCTTTCATTTTCGTTACATTAATGGCCTGGTGTCCCAATTCTTTTGACTAGCTAGCGTATAGAGGGGCAGCACAGTGCGTCTGTCTTCCTCACGGTTACGAGGTTTGGGGTTTGGGGTTTGTGGAGAGAGAGAGAGCGCATGTTCTTCTTGAGGGACACGAGTCACATGACTCGACTCGACACAGACTTAGGTCGCCAATTTAAATCTTGGGAACCGTTTTGCTAAAATGACTTGGACTTGAACTGCATCACTTGACAAATCTTGCCGGTTGCCTGAAAAGTAGTCCAAGGTTATTATAGTTAACATAAACTAACGAAATAAAAATAAACTAAACAAAAATGAAAATGCTTTAAAAAAAAATCGGAAACTAACTGAAACTGAACCTTACAATTTTGAAATGAACCAAAACTATAATTATGTCATATTTGGCCTTCGTTTTTATCTTTGTTAGTGTCATACATGAGCTTTGGGGCTTCATTTTAAATTTCGGTGTTGTTGTACATAGATAGGCATCGTAGCTACCGAAGAAGGAAGGTGAAATAGTTTAGCATTGGAGTTTACTTCATTGCGCAATACAATAAGTGACCTTTTTTTTTTTTTTTTTAATCTTGCACTCAACAAATAATCAAAATATTAAAAAACAAAACCTGAAAAAAAACTAATAACTAAAATAAACCAAAGCAATGGTAACCCCACCCTATGAAAAATGATTAAAAATAACAGAATTTAAATTGGGTTTTACTCCATTGGGCAATACAAAAAGTGCCCTTTTTTTTTTTTTTTTTAATCTTGCACTCAACAAATAATCAAAATATTAAAAAACAAAACCTGAAAAAAAACTAATAACTA